CCTGCCTAAGTAATTCAATTCATCATTCATAAGTGTTTTGGCTGACATTCTTTTACGTAACTTGGAGAGCTGTACTTCGAACAGCAAAATTGCCACAAGATTTGAGAGCAACGCCTGCCGGAGGAACTGCACGCCCGATGTTATTGAGTGTGGAAGCATGTTCAAATCTGCTTGGCGCTGCTACTACAAATCTAGAAGCTGCCTGCCAGCCAGCTTCCAGGTTGACTTGCAGGCTGCAAAGCTGAGCCTGCCAGCAGCTGCGACTGGCAGCTGCTAGGCTTGCTTTCAAATAACAGATGCCGGGCACAATTGCTCTGCTGGCAGCTTCCAATCTTGCAAGCCTGGCAGGTGCCACTGTGTGGCGTGGCAGCCGCCAGTTTCCAGACATGGCAGCTTCCAGCAGCTACCAAGCCCAAGCTGGGTCTCCACATAGTAGCTATCAGACTGGCGTTTCCCAACGCTCATGCTTGCCATCAGCTTGGAAACTGTCAGCCTGTCGGAGCTCCCGCACATACCGAGTGCTGCCAGAAACCTGAAAGCCTAGCCAACAAGTCTGCGCAGCTTGGGCTGCCACGCGCGCTTCCTTCAGACTGCCAAGCCAGCTGAGGTTGGCAGGGCCGCTACAATTGGCTGACAGCTGCCGAATCACCAGGGTGCGGACAGCAAAGCCAAGCTGGAGACTTGCAGCCCGATTCAAGTGTCGTGCGGGCGCCTAACCAGAGCACGCTTGACCGCAAGGCAATCGTCAGCAAAATCGACCCTAAAGTGGCCGCGCAGTGCGGAACCCTTCTCGCCGCTTTACGAAAAATGGGAAAAACTGACACACGCCGAGAAAAAAACGCTCGTTTTAGAAAAGCGCTCGTTTGACCTGTTCGCGCAAAAAAACGTACCACTCCCCCAAAAAGTGTACCAAACAAGGGGTCGAGCACTTTTTTCTGTACCACTGGGTGGTCCAGGGACTTATCCGAGCTACGACCTGCAGCCGCTGCTGCTGAAGCGCCAGGGGAACTGGAGGAGGCGCGGGCCTTCAACAACGGCTGGACGAGCGCCGGTGGCCAGGAGGGGCAGCGCCTGGAGGCAGTGCACGCCAGGACCCCAGCTGCGCTACGCGCGCCGAGCGCCGGGGCGTCGAACGCGCAGGGGCGAAGCCTTAAAGAGATGAAGACGCTTCGGTCCCACGGCTTCAACCAGCGCCCGCGCTTCGAGCAGGTGCAGTCCAGCGAGGACCCAACCCGCAGCCTCTGCAGCACACGCCTTTGAGGGCAATTTCCGAGGAAGGCTTCCGCACTCCGCCGAGGCCACGGACGAGGACTTGGCCCGGATGCGCCAAGGCCGCGAAGGAAACCGCTTCGGCCGCGGGCGCTGGCGGAGTTTTCAGTCAATCCTGCGCGCAGCACAGGATTGCTCCACTCAATCCTGCGTTCAGGGCCATAATGGAGTCGGCCCGCTTGAGCTCCCAGGCCTCAGACACGTCGTTGATGCTAGGACGAAGGGCAGGCCGCTCGCGAAGAGCGCGTCTCGGAGTCCGAGTGGAAGGCCAGGTCATCCCCCGCCTCCTCGTGCCATAGTAGTTCATGCTGCGACCACCACTTGTCACCGCTACGTCACCGCTCTCTTTTGGGTCGAAGAAGTGCGCAAAAACGGTCAAGTTCCCGACTTCCCGAAGACCTCATTCTTCACACGATTTTCCGTTTTTTGCCAAGCGCGGCAGCCTGCCGAGGTCCTTGCTCGTGACACGGCAACCTGCCGAACTTGTCACCGCACCCGGTCTAACGCGCCAACCTGCCGAACGTGCAGAGGACTCCAGGGCTCGAAATCTTGGCAAGTTTGAGTCAATATTGAATCGGCTTGAAACAATATTTCATTAATAGGTAAAGGTTCCTCGGTCGCAGGCGGGATTCGAGCCCCAGACCAGGGTGGTGCAGAGACTGTGCTTAACCGCTAAAACAAGGGAGCTTCTTTTGCTGGAAAAAGAAGCCGGCCGAGCTTGTCACCGCTTGTCACCGCTTGTCACCGCTTGTCACCGCTTGTCACGCGCTTTTGGGTGGAAAAAGCAGCCGCCGAACCGACCGCAGTTCGAGGTGTCCCACGGTCCGTGTTACCCCGTGACACAAGCTTTCGTAATCTTCCAAGCTGCAAAGCGAGGCCGGCTCCGCGGCTTCGGTCTAAAAGCGAGGCCGGAATTCTTTCCAATTTCGGCGATCTGTCCCGCAATTTTCGAGCGTCGTGCGCAATCCAGGGGTGGTATCACGACCTGGACCAGGGAACTTCAAATTAAAGGATATTTTCCCCCGGTCCAAAGCGACTCAAGGGGTTGTTGCGAAATTACAAGGTCGCTACAAGTGCGTAGCGACTTTCCTCACTCCTAAGAAGACATGTTTGAAGGAGGCCCTGGACAACGGAGAGCAGGGCAGCCCTACGCACAAGTGGCAGACCTGGCCGTGAACACGGCAGCCTCCAGCCACCTGGGCGACCGAGTCACCGCAGAGCTGGCCTTGAAGCTGGACAGCAGCGCACTGGCGCCGGCAATCGCTCCTCTAACCACGGCAGCAGCCCTGGCCACCACAGACGGGCAGGTGTCTGCGCACGGAAGCAGCATTGCAGCGCTGCAGAGCTCGCTGACCACGGTCTCTCCAACAAGCCTTCGACGTGCTGGAGGGCGTGGTGGCCACGAAGAGCACCCCGACGGCGTGCCTGAAGCTGTCGAACTACAGCACCACGGCAGCCATGAACGGCTCCATCGCCTCGGCCAACAACGCCACGCTGGCCACGGTGGCAGCCAACTACGGCCTCAAGACGGTGGTGGACCAGCGCTCCCACGCCGCTGAGGTCGACACCAAGGTGGCCAACGCCTGGGCGTCGTCACCGCCGCAGCGCTGGCCTCCAAGCTGACAAGCTCAGCGGGATGGAACTTGCCAGCTTTTCCGGGCAGAAAACGGAAATCGACACCAGCGTGCGCGTCTGGAGCCTGTTTTCGGCCGAAACCGAGCAAATTTAGAGGCAGAGGCACCTCGCTTGCCGTCTGACAGGAAAAAACGAGCTTTTCGGGAATTCGGGAAGTTTGCCGTTTTTGAGCACTTTTTCGACCCAAAACGGAGCGGTGACATCGACCGGTGACATTGGAAAAACGTTCAGCAGGATTGAGAATTTGGCTGTTTTGCAGGGTTTTTTGACCCAAAAACGAAAATAATTAGGTTACTATAGGCCTATGTTCCTTACTAAAAGAAACGGCCCCAAATCTAGAGCCGCGTTGCAGCCCGTTTTTAAGCCCGCGCAACCTGCGGCCAACTTCAAGACTTGAAAAAACTTGCAACCATAACACGGCCGCCTTGACCAAAGCCTCACGCATTACGCACACGCACACTTACGCGCGCTGAAAAAAACACGCTCTCTTAGCGGTCTTCAACTATCTGGACCTGCGCTGTGGGGCCTGCTGCAGCGGCGACGTTTTTGCAGTTTTTTACAGACCCGAAACTTGGCCCGGGAAAACAGAGGTGCAGAAGATTGTACGTTCTTCCTTTGCAAGAAATTGCAAGACCCACGCGCGTGGTGGAACACGCGCCGCCGCCCCCCTCCACCCCCCTTTAATGACTTGTCTGAGACACAACATTGAAATTCGGGGAGCGGAGGCTTAAGACTAGACTTGTCAACCTCGCATTTTCAGGCCCAGCAAAGCTAGCTTGGAATGGTCCTTGCAATGCTTCCAGTTGGACCTCGCATGCCCATTGGTCTGCAGAGCTGCAGCAGACGCGTGCGCATGTAGGGCTTGGAGGATGGTTCATCTCCAGCAAGTCCTGGTTTGCAGAACTTGGATCATCTTGAAAAACAATGGCCATGTCTTACCAAGGAAGCCCAGGGAAACATTGCGTGCTTTGACACCCGTGCGCAGCTGGCCCTCACGCGCATTGCGCGCGCATCTGCGTCCCCACAGGCACAGATAACACAGCGCCTGAAGTAGGGGTGAATAAAATATTCACTATCTCGTGGCCTTTGCCGATGTTTTTGCAGCTGGTGGCCGCATGGGCCCACAAGCGCAAATGGTCAGCATATTCCCGGCAAGGGCAACGTCGAAACCTCACTGCATTTGCACATAGGCCAACGGCCAGAACGCGTTTCAGTCCGCATGACTTTTGGCCTCGCAAGTCCGCTTGACATTGCGTCCTGAAGATGCTCCGTGGCGCCCCGAACACAGACAGGCGTCGCAACCGCATTAAAGAGGGGGCGATAGACATTCCGGTTGCTCAGCCCTGAATGGGGGTATGATCACAGTCTCCGCATGGGGCGCAGGTGCGGGGTTGGACGCGCGTTGTCAACCTCCCTGCGCCCGTGAGCCTGTACCTCTGAGCAACACCAGGCAAAAAAGGTGCGGAGCGAGACGTTTCAGTTCGTTTCCTGTTTTTGGGTTACATGTTTTGAAGCAGCGAACAGGATTCTAACATTGGCGGTTAGGCAAGAAATCCTTTTGAGACCCCACCCACTCCAGTCGTGACTGTTGTCATGATGGGCACCAGTGGGCCATCGCTAACCTGAACTCCGCAAGAACTATGGCTGTACGGGGAATGCCGCTCTAATTGTGTTGCAGGTCAAATACGATAGATTTTCCCCCTCGTGTCGCGAAACTTTGAAATCGAAAGGCGGGCGGAGGGGAAATCCTGCAACGGATGGAAGGGACGTCTGTTAGCAAAGGCACAAGGTCAAGCAGAGTGTGTTGATCACGCCCATCAATGGAAGTCCAAAACAGTTGTGGCTTCCCACCTCTTGCCGTGGCGCCAACCCTCTAAATAGGCCTGCTGATTTCAGGTTGGTGTCACCCCTCATGTTAGAGGCTTGGGCTGTGATGTTTGTGTTTGCTTGTCTCAAGCATGCGTGTAGCAGCCCGGCACAGGAATTGAACACATTTCTATCGTTGTGTTGTGGAACCGGAGATGAAGCGGAAGAAACCCGGTGAAATCAAACTGCTTGCGGTGCGAGCTGTTCATTCAAGACGTGTAAACTTACAA